TTTTTATCAGTATTTTAAACGAACGAGTGTATCTGTGTGAAACACTATGAAATCTGTAATCATGTATTACTCTTCAATAGAACTGTTTTATTTTATACCAAAAAACTGGTGTTGTTAGAAAACCACCTTTTTAAATTTTTTCTATCTTAGTGAAAATAGATAAATTATAGAAATTTTTTAAAACTGAAACTGCTCAATCGCCTTTTTCACTGCTGTTTTATTGATAAGACAGTAAAGCGAACAACAATATGTCCCCACTTTAGTTCTATGATATCAGCACTTAAATTTCGTTTTTTTTGATGTTAAATGCAAAAAAAAAAAAGCCTATCAGTTACAAAGTTTTTTAAAGCTTAAAACTGGTAATAGGCAAAAGTAATTGTCATATGCGTATTGGTTTTAAAGCAGCAGTCGATTATTTATTTACTATTTCAGCTTGTTAACTTTTCAAAAACTTGTCGACTTTTTAAGCTACGTTTTTCAATGAAAGCATTATTAAATGTTAAAAAGCATATTATTTTCATTTAATTACTTTAATTTTTTTGAAAAAAAAAATTTTTTTCTGTTTTTATTATAATTCACTTTTTTGGACCAAAAATTTGAAAAAAAATTATTAGAAATAATTCTTTTTTTTTAACTTGATAATGTTTTCTCAAAAATTTTTCATTGTTTAATCAAATGTTGACAAGCTAAGTTAAATTAGATATTGGTAAGTAAATTTTTTAAACGATTTTATATTGAATTGTCAACTACTTTCTGTTGAGTCATTCTAATACCAAATTGTTTTTTTTCCTTCTTTCTTCAACATTTGAAAAGCTGATATTCAACCCTGATTCTTTCGTGCTTTGTAGGATCTTCTTCAGATATACCGGTGACATCTGCTGTAACACTAGGAATACATTTTTTATAACTAAATAACTTTCAGTTTAGTTTTCAATTAGTATTAAAACTATTAGTCATAAAAAAAAAAACAAAATAAATGCCAGTTTTGTGATTGTTTTAACAGATAAGTATATTGAGTTATTAGTTCTCTTGTAATTTTACACAATTTTACTAGCTTTTTTTCTAGTTTGCTTAACCACTTTCTGCACCTCTTGTTTTCCACGTTACAAAGTTCAAAGAGGCTAGAAAACAACAACAAGCTAAACTGATCAGTTAAAAGAAATAGGAAAAAGCAGGAAAAGGTAGATTGTTTTAGGCATAAGAAGCGGATACGAAACAGGGGGAAAGGCAAGGTAACAAAAGCAATTTTACATTATCTGTAAATTAGAATAATGTAAAAAAAAAGTCAAAAGTTGCCTTTCTTGTTCGTTTATTT